TATATATATATATATATATATAGTTTTTAAAGTTTTTTGAGGTTGCTTAATAGAGATAAAATACCTTGGACTCATATCCAGTAAGAAATTTCATCTCTCGAGATAATTGTAGTACCTTATTGCAATTTCCTTCACTTGCAGCATTAATGATTTCTATATATTTATCCATAAATATTTTGTCATATGTTCTACATGCTCCGAAATCCAGTAAAATTAACTGTAAAGATATATCTGTTAATATTCTTCCATGATTAAATTACAAATATATAACTATGATATTAAAAAAAACCTGTTTTGTATCAGGATTGTAAAAAAAGTTGGACCAATTTGGATCAGTCTGCATGTATCGAAATTCGAATAATTCTTTTAGGATCAGGCGCATGAGCAGTTCACTTATATGTTCTTTAATTGTAACATCCATATTTATACATTTGTCAATAGGTATACCTTCTATCATCTCTGTTGTAAATACTTGTTTTGTAGAGAGATCGTCTAGAAATTTAATTCATATTATATATAAAAAATTGATTCCATACATCTTTTTTTTATTTACCTATATCACTTACCTATTACTATAGGAACATAATATTCTGGATAAGGCATTATTAACTCCTTATATTTTTTCGTACACTCTGCTTCTCTTGTATAATCCACTTCCCATGCCAGTTCCCGTTGTGCAACCTCCACTACATTATCTATAAACATTCCCTCTGGAAACATATTCCACACCTACAATGAACACACGCACATATTATATTTATATAATAAAGTTTACTCAGTAAAGTTTTTTGCAGGATACACGTAATACTGATCTGTGATATTATTACCTTCATTATGCCTATTAAATTTTCAATATCACTCTGAATACCCATAGCCACACCAGGATACTGAATCTTTATCGCTACATCTTGTTTATTCAATAATGTACCATGATGAACTTGTCCTAGGATATATTATATAATTAGAAGAGACCTCTTAATCTTAGTATTATATATAAATAAATATGAATAGTAACAAATCAATATATACCAATGGATGCTGCAGCAAATGGCTTTTCTTCAAAGAACGCCAATTTATTTCTCCAATTATGTCCAAGTTCGTTAGTCAACACTTTCTAGAAGGAATTATACGACACATTAAGAGATTGCTTTTTAATTTGTATATTTATATCATTTTGTTACCTCTACTTGCCAAGTTGGCATAAAATCAGCACTTTGTCTGACTCTTTCAAAAACTTTCTGCAATTCGGGATTTATGACAGTATTATCTTGGATGCTTAATATTTGACCAATTTTTAAAGCTGCACCTATATTTTGAAAATTATGAAAATTTTTAGTAAATAAACTGATAAAATTTTCATATATGTATATAGATACATAATATAATTGTGTATGTCTTACCTCTTACTTTACATAACGTTGAAACTATTCTTTCTGCATTAGCTTTAGTAAGGAACATATTGTCGACTGTATCTCCAATACTATGTCCCTTTAATCCCAATGTCCTTCGTGTATATTCTGCAGCAGTACCAAGACCAAGACCGATCCCTAAAGTACCAAAACTCACCATTCTTTGCAACCTTGTAGAAGGAACTTTTCTTTCTTTGGCAGTAGGTGATAGCTGTAATAGAAATTAAATAATGTAGTTAAAATGTTAATTAAAATGTGAATATAAATACATATAAACCAACTTAATAAAAATAGATACACAATGCAAAAAATAAAAATTTATTTTTATGATACTTACGCATTGCTTTGGTCTAACTGATAATTTAGCTTTTGGTTTTTCTTTAGAATTCATTTCCACATGTACATTTTCCTTTTCATATGTTTTAACTGTAGAAGAATAAGCAGAGCTTATAATACTGTTTTTAATCTTTTTCTCATGTTCTAATTCCAATTTTCTTAAGATTTCTTTGTCTTTATCAGAGAATTCTAAGTCAGGTATCTCATCTTTATCTAAATTACTAATAGTCTTGATTTTTTCCTTTACACTCATATATTTTTTTGTTGTGTCATTTTGCATGCCTTTTAAAGATTTTTCAGTTATAGATTTGTCTATATTGCGTTTTGGTAATATGACATCTCCATCAATAGGCAATTCTTTTGGATCTTTCGCGGTATTGTACACATATAACTTGCTTTCTTTCTTGGGGATATAATCATTACTTTTTATATCCAAAATTTGATTAGCTGTTATCTTAATATACTGTTTAATACCTTTCTCAACTACGTTTATACGTTCAGTTATTTCTCTCAAGTCTTTTATTATCTGTTTCTATAAAAAAAAGCAATTATAGTGAGAGACAATATATGTAAGATATTGTATGTTGTACTGACAAATCATTTAGATGTTTATCGCAAGACTTACAGGAACCTTACTTGGCTCTGTGTTAGTCAATGTTTTTCCTACAGCTTGTAAACACTTCTCCGGTATATCTTTTAAACTGGAGTGTGTGATTCTATATCTGATTGTATCCTCCTGATGTTTTATCAAAGTATTCGTAACCTTTTGTACTCCTTTGAGCACGTTAAGTAGATCGGAAACTTTGGATCGAGACATTTCTGAGAAATACGTAAATAATAATGAATAATAATGTTTTTTTTTAATATACTATATATTTAATATACTATATACAATAGTTTTGATAGAATATTTTAAAATAATAATAATGTCTAAAACTATAATGCGGTATATGAACTCTCTATCTTTGTCTCATAGAAGTGTAGAACCGAACATTAAGGTTAGCACGATTGTATATAAATTATAACGACATGAAAAATACGAATTCAGTATTTTAATGTGACACTAAAAATAACTTAACGATGTAGATCATAAAAAATAATTCATCTCTAAATAAAACAATTACGAATAAAACCTTTCGTGCATTATTCTACAGACTCGTTTCGGTGTATGCTGTTGTACTAGTTACTTATATGTTTCATGATTTCGCAATCTTAACCCGAGTACTTAATAACACTATATTGTACTATACTTTCTTTGATTGTATCATATATCGGATATAATTCAGTAACACCATTAAAAAATAATGCTTTTCATATCAATTGTAACATTTACAATTTACATTTTTCACAGAAAAATAAGTATCTTATATATATTTCTTTTATTAATATTATATTGGGATATTCAAAATTTTTTATTAAATTAAAATAACATGACTAAACAAATTTTAAAAATTGTTTTATTTGCTTTACATACATTTTCATTCAATTGGCGCTCTTTATGTAGAACTTTAAGAAAATTTACAGAAATTTCATAAATTCACTAACATTTCTTACGTATGTAATGTCAATAATAATTACGAATTTAACGCGATGTTTTACACAGATATCACACTGGATATATTCGACCATATTAAACATCACAGAAAAATTATCCTGACACGACATATTATTGCTACATATATATATATGTATATATGTATGTATATACATATATATATAAATGTTTTAAGAAAATTATCTCAAGTGCCTATTATTATTTCCTTACATGTAGCTTTATATAATACAAGCTCTACACGAAACCTATATTTCTTATTTTTATATAGATATTAGATATATACATAGTTATATTTTTATCTCTCGTTGTACCTTTATTTCTTCATATTCTACAAACATAAAAAAATTTTTTATACATTTAACTCTAATAGCTTTGGGATGGCAACTCTAACAATCTTCTTCCGAAGAAAAGTTAGCATTAATATCTATAGATCTAATGTGTGACTGTTATTCTATTTCGTGAATTGTGAATCTCTCAATAAGTTAAATAATAAATTGA